TAGAGTTTTACCAGTAATTTACCTTGACAAAAGGAACCCTAGCTCAGCAAAAGAGCAAAAAATCAGCACCGGCCCTTCCACCACATAGGAAGGGGAAGGATGGTCGGTCCATGGACCACAAACACAGTGATCTTAGCTCTTCTAGATACAGGGATTAGAGCAGAAAGATCTTCAGAAGCCCTGTTTTGCTACTTAGGATGGTTACTTAAAGATCAGTGCATATTCTTTCCATCCAAAACTATCAGTAGCTGTATAAATAACCAACCAGAGGGGGTAGCAGAGTAGCCACCATTGCTCTGGGCTTCTTTTTATCCAGCAATTCCAAGGTATTTTTCAATCATCACATTCCTATACAGTCAAAACTATTCCCCTTTACCACTGGGTAATTTGAGAGCCTTATGATAGATTTGCCAAGGTTGCAAAGAGTTTAATGGTAAGATGTAAACAAAACCTGAAATCTTGGGCCTCTATTCAACCATCCTTCTATGTTTATGCACACTCTCATTCTCTAAATCAGACCCTTAGGGCTCGATACTAAACTTAATTTTGACAGATTATCCTAAATGGTAGATCAGCAGGGCTCCAGTATAAACTATAGGCCGAGTGATACATTTGCAGGTGATACTTTAAAAAAAAAAAAAAGATGTATTTATTTATTTATTTATTTATTTATTTATTTATTTGAGAGACAGAGAGTGCTAGTGGGGGAAGGGACAGAGGGAGAGGAAGAGAGGGAATCTCAAGCAGACTCCCTACTGAGCATGGATCCCCATGCAGGGCTCCATCCCAGGACCCTGAACTCATGACCTGAGCCAGACGCTTAATCACCTGCACACCCAGGCGCCCCTACAGGTACTTTTTAGTTTGGTCAGTAAGAAATGACGGGAATCACCACAGATCCCATAAGCCAGGAAGTCTGTGGTATTCATATTTTATATAACAATGTATTTCAACATCTTTCACTCCCCATCTTCATTCTCTCTGGAAGGAGGAGCTGCTCGATGGCTTTAAAAGGCAGTTCTCGGGGATCCCTGGGTGGCGCAGCGGTTTGGCGCCTGCCTTTGGCCCAGGGCGCGATCCTGGAGACCCGGGATCGAGTCCCACGTCAGGCTCCCGGTGCATGGAGCCTGCTTCTCCCTCTGCCTATGTCTCTGCCTCTCTCTCTCTCTGTGTGACTATCATAAATAAATAAAAATTTAAAATAAAATAAAATAAAATAAAATAAAAGGCTGTCCTCTTTTCTCTGCAACCGGATGCCCCGTTATTGACGCGGGAGACGTGTTACTAGAGAGTAGAAGTCAATCCCTCAGAACTCACGCTCCAAGTCCCTCTTCACAATCTCTGGGCCGTCCCCTAACCAGGTGTGATGTGCAGTAACAGCAAAACACAGAGGTCAGAGCAGCAGATGGAATTACACACCAAATAGCAGCTCTCTCAAGAGATACTCCAAGAGAACATGTCACTGCCACTCGGTCTACTTTTAGATCTCTCCTCGCATCTCACAAATTGTACTTGATGACCGAGTCAGACAGACTTGCCGACATGATGTGGGCAGAGCTCCTGAGCCTACACATGGCCTGACTAGCAGAAACAACAGAGCACTTCAGGCTCCAGGGCTGGACTGCTAGGTTCAAATCCTGATTCACTCACTTATGGGCTTGATGATCCCTGCTTAAATTCTTTGTGCCCATGTTCCTCATCTGTCCAGTAAGGACACTCCTCACAGGGTGTGAAGACAAGAGGAGAAAACACTGTAGAGCTTAGAACAATCAGGTCTGGCAAATAGGAACCGTTCGATAAATGTCAGCTGTTACCATTATGGGATAATGTGTGGGGAAAGAAAAGGAAATGTGCCACATTCGTTCTGTATACTATAATTCTAGCTGCCTGTCTGAAGTTGCCCTGATTTTCTTTCTTAACATGAAATTATGATGTCTTTTTGCCCTGATTTGCTTTCTTAACATGAAATTACGATGTCTTTTGGAAACATTTACTCAGTACAACATCAAGCATATTTAACGATGACTACATAGAAACAACAACAAAAAGTCCAATGTTGATGCTCCTTTGGAAAAAGTCTCAAATGTAAGGTCAAGGCTGCTCTCCAGGGCTTTGGGAAGAGCTCAGTCCTTCTCGGGCTCACAGAGAAGGGTCAACAAGGCCACTGAACTGGGAAGGTGTGCCAGCAGCATAAACCTCCAAATGAACCCAGAGAAGCATTTTCTTTGTGTTTAAATAATCTTTATGGCCTGAAAAAGTTCAAAATTAAAAAACAAAAACGAAGTAACTGATTCAAATGTCAAGTCCCCATAAGAAGAAAGGGCCATATCCAAGCATGAGCTGACTCCCAGCAAGGAAGGCAAAATTCTTACTGGCTCTATCAAAAAAGAAAGATCCTTCTACTCTAACTGATAAGGCATCAGTAACTAAATCAAAGAGCAGACATTGGGATCCCTGGGTGGCGCAGCGGTTTGGCGCCTGCCTTTGGCTCGGGGCGCGATCCTGGAGACCCGGGATTGAATCCCACGTCGGGCTCCCTGCATGGAGCTGCTTCTCCCTCTGCTTGTGTCTCTGCCTCTCTGTCTCTCTCTGTGTGACTATCATGAATAAATAAATAAAATCTTTAAAAAAAAACAAAGAGCAGACATTTGATGAGCATTAGCTGCATGGCTAATGTGAAGCAGAAGGGACAGGGTATTATGAAAGCACTTGTGGATTGTGAATTAGAGGAGGGGGTTACTCTAGATACAAAGGAAGAAAAAGACGGAAAAATCACATACACAATTTTTTTTTTTTAATTTTCTTCAGGTCACTTATCTGCCTAAAAACCTTCACTATTTCCCATGGCCTAATGGAAGGAGTCAAAAACCTCTGGAGGTCATGAGGCCCCACCTACCTTTCCAATCCTGTTCCACCATCAGAAAATATCCACTCCCACCAGCCTGGCTTCCTTATTCCAGAGAGGAACAAACCATGCTCATTTCAGCTTTGTATCCCCAGTGCCTATCACAGTACCTGGCACACAGCAGTTCCCCAGTGAGTATTTGCTGATTCAACAACATTGGGAATGCTTTAAGGCCTGTACTCTGCACTTCTTTCCTGGAAAGCCCCTTCCCCACCCGGCTGGTGAAAACCCAGGCATCTCCATAGCCTCATTCCAACACCCTCCACCTCTTCTCAACACCAGTGCAAGCGATCCGTGCTTGCCATCCTCCTCTCCCGCTCTCAAACCTCACAGTATCAGAACTAAAGACCTCTACTGCTGTTCAGACATTTCCAGTTCCTATGTTTTGCCTGCCCCACTAAACCAGGAGTTTCTGGAGGATAGCAGGACATGTTGAAGAAGTGAGAAGCAGTGGAAAGGTTATCGATCTGTGGCCAGGCAGACCTACTTGTTTGACTTTGGGAAAACTTTATATAAACACTTTGAACAGCGCCTGGAACATAGTATTCACTTTGCAAACACTAGTATTGTCATTATTTATTTCTTGGAACCTCAGTCCTCCTTTTTTAAAATGGAGTTAATAAAAAAAAATGGAGTTAATAATAAATCTTCCGGGGTGCCTGGCTGGATCAGTTGGTACAGCACATGATTCTTTTTTTCAAGTTTTTAATTTAAATCCCAGTTAACATACAGTGTAGTATTAGTTTCAGGTATAGGATTTCATGATTCACCACTTACGTACAACACCTGGTGCTTGTCACAAATGCCCTCCTTCATACCAGAGCACTCTACCCTTGATCTCAGGGTAGTGAGTTCAAGTCTCACACATTAGACATGGAGCTTACTTTAAAAAAAGTTAAAAAGAAGAAGAAGAAGAAGAAGAAGAAGAATGATAAGTCTGTCCGGTGGTTTCTGATAAAGATTAGGAATAATAGGGGATCCCTGGGTGGCTCAGCGGTTTAGTGCCTGCCATTGGCTCAGGGCGTAATCCTGGAGTCCCAGGATCGAGTCTTACATTGGGTTCCCTGCATGGAGCCTGTTTCTCCCTCTACCTGTGTCTCTGCCTCTCTCTCTCTCTCTCTCTCTGTCTCTCATGAATAATAAAAAAAAAAGATTAGGAATAATAACTGAAAAGTCTCTAGGACCTTCCTTAGCACACAGCAGCCATATGACAGCCATTCTTCCAAAGCCTCCAGCTGGGTGCAGAGAAGATGCTTCATAAAAATTTATAGAATGAGTTGAGTGAACAGAGACATAGTCTAATATCAATTCAGATATCAAGGGAAAACTTATCAATCATTCATTCAACAAATCTTTTAAGGGCTTGTCGGTATGTACCAGGCTTTGTTCTAGGTGCTGGGATGCAACAGTAAAAACTGTCCCTGTCATGTGAAATTTCCATTCTAAAAGAGAGGGCAAAAAATAAAAAAAAAATAAAAATAAAAAATAAAATAAAAGAGAGGGCAGATAATAAACAGAAGGCAAAATAGAAATAAAAGCCTACATAGTGTTAAGTACTATGACGAAGGGGATCCCTGGGTGGCTCAGCGGTTTAGTGCCTGCCTTCGGCCCAGGGCATTATCCTGGAGTCCCAGGATCAAGTCCCACGTCAGACTCCCTGCATGGAGCCTGCTTATCCCTCTGCCTGTGTCTCTGCCTCTCTCTCCCTCTCTCTCTGTGTCTCTCATGAATAAATAAATAAAATCTTTAAAAAAAAAAAAGTGCTATGAAGAAGAAAAAAAGCAAGGTGAGGATGCGCTAGCCGAGCTGGGAGGGGGCTGTCTGTGGAGGTGGCATTTAGGCAGAGAGAGGAATCTTTAGGACAGCTGGAGAGTGTGAGATGTCCTTGCCTTTAGGCAGACTCCAGCAGCCTCTCCACAGGGTCAGCCTCCAGTGACAAGAGACCCACCGCCAGCAAAGAGGCTGTGTGCGGTCTGGCTCCCACTCACACCAAGCTACAGACACTGCTGAGCCACTGATTACAAACTTATTTTTATAAGACTGTTTGAATTGGCCACTGAAGCCCCACATGGAAGCAAATAGGTCATAACCATACCGCTACTGGTCTGTTCCCCAGAAAGTTCAGATCACTGTTCTCTCCAAATAGGTAACCTTCGGGGTGTGTGGAGTCAAACTTCTCTCCTCCCATAATGAAGTGGCTGGCAAAATAGCTTCCTGGACAGGGAGAGACAGAAACATTAAACAGAAACCAGTCAAACTAAACCAAGTAAAAAAAGTCGACTCAAAAAAGTTAACTCTTCAAACAAATAATTAGCATAACTGTTAACCCCAAGAGAATTTTCTCTTGATTTGGGACCGTGGCATAAATGAAATAAAATCATAGCAGTGAGAACTCAAGATACCCAACATAAATAGATCAATTTTCCTTTTAACATTATTGATTGAAGCCTTATCATGATCTGCCTATAATACTATCAACCAAAAGACCAGAAGGCCCCGTGATGCACATTAATGAACATATACATGTATTTTGTTCCTGATTTTTTCCCTTAAAACTTTAAGTGGTTACCTTCTATCCTCTGTACATTCAGAAACCTTAACTACAGATATCAGCCTGTATACACACACATACATTTCTTTGCCTAGATATTCCTAAGCCAGCTCATCCTTATACACAGAAGTCTCGGTACCTGTCTACCTCTACGTATATACCTCCATAACTCTCTACAATGAAGGCTCTTCCTTTTTGATATTTGCTTCAAAATTATTGTTAACAGGAAAATAAGAATTTAAATAATACAGGTGTCCTATGCTTTACCTACAACACAGACTGTGGAGTTTAACAGGGCAATAGTTTAGTGCTATGAAAAGATACACGTGCATGCACACGTGTGTACACACACATGCACGCACGCACACACTCTAAGGCTCAAATTCACTAACTGTGAATGGCCAGGGTTCCAGGGACATTGGTCATGGCAGGTGCTCTTAGCCCCCCACCTTGGCTAGCCAGGAGGCAGGGATATTTTTAACACCACAATAACTGAGGCGATCAGCAGTCAAGGGTCAGAATCCCCATCTGCTCTGTCCAGACAGTCAAGGAACTGTGCCAGGAAGTGACGACACTGATAAGTCACCATGGGAGGCTTAGGTAATGCTGCAAATTCCATCTGGGAATACTTTCCAACCTAGATGACTAGACGAATGCCTCTTAACCCAAATTCTATAATCTAATACTCCCAGGAAGGTAAGCCATCTGAAGGGAAGGATTTATACCACAACCTGCCTTCGCCCAAGTTCTCCTCACATACCCCAATTCCTGGATTAACATAAAGAATTTATGAAACAGCGAGAGGCTTTGTCCTCATCTGTCACACAGCAAGGGTATAGATAAATTTTCTAAACCAATTTAAACTTTAAAAAAAAAGATTTTATTTATTTGAGAGAGAAAGAGCAGAAGCAGGGGGAGGACAGGGGGAGAGAGAGAAGCTGACTCCCTACTAAGCAGGGAGCCTGATGCAGGGCTAGATCCCACTTGATCCCAGGACCCTGAGATCATGACCTGAGCTGAAGGCAGACGCTTCACCGACTGAACCACCCAGGCGCCCCTCCAATTTCAACTTTTGTTAAAGGTTTACAGCAAACTAAAAACAATGAGATTCAGCACTTTCAGCCTGTGAAGAAGCCATAGGAAGGAAGACAAAGAATATTCTAACAAAAACTGAACCAAATATTCATCTTTGGGTTTCTCCACATGGAGCTTTAGTCTAGAAACACTTATTACACAAAGCAATGTGGATAAAATCACTCACCACAAAGTGAGGCAATTCTTTAAACAACAAGTAGGAAAACATTATTTGAGAGTAAAAGCAGCCTAAATCAATCACTCAGGAAAGTTACCCCCCAAAACTGAAAAAAATACAAACATCAGCCATCTGCAGTGATACAACAGTGAAATTCATCATTTAGGAAAGCTTAATTATCAATTATTTATGTCGAGCACTTGCAAGCCCTATTTTCCAAGTGCATAATTTATAGAGGGGGGAGGTGCTGAGTTGCCTTAAGTAGAAGCAGCCATCTCAAATAATTTAAGTCACTTACTGTTGAACCTTACCAAAATATACTTTCTATACACTAGAGATTATATATTTATTATACATTAGCTGAAATTTTAAAAGTTAAAGATTTTGGGGAGCCTGCTGGGCTCCGTTGGTAGAGCATACGACTCTTGATTTGCAGGTCGTGAGATCAAACCCTGTGTTGGGGACAGAAATTACTAGAATAAAATAAAAGAGTTTACATTGATGGATGGCTTGCCCAAGTCACGGATAAAGAACAGAGAGAGGCAGGTTTGGTGTCTAGAGCTATATGGTTCAGTTCAGTGTGGGATGTGCTGATTTCTAGTACCTGTGAACAGTCACATGAGGGATGAAGGGACAATGAAATCCAGATAATCAACTTACAGATGGCAGTGATTGATCCTAACAAGAAGAGAGCATTAGCAGCTTGGGAGGTATGGGGTTAAAGATGGCAAGAGGATTCTATTGGAAATGCCTTTTTTGGGCCATAATATTAAAAGAGAAGAAATGATCAAGAAAGTAATATAAAGCTAATTGTAGTTTTGCCTTACATTAAAAAATCAAGAACACAAATATACAAAGATTTAAAATTAGGGTCAATATTTGAGAGATGAAAAAAGGACTTTTCATTTGAGTAGCAGAGTTGGTGCAAAATTCCTTTAAAAAGATGATCTCCCTTGGTGCACTTAAAATACAAATACCTTACCAGTTAAAAAAAAGAAAATAAGCTTAAGGCAACCAAAAGTTTGCTTGTTCCTTTTTCTGAAATGGACCCCTCTAATAACCTGCCCCAGACAGACTAGTGAGAAAGAACAAATCCGCCATCTGCAGCCTGGATAAAGCTTTCTCTCTGCCCCAGCTGTCTAAAGGGACAAACCAGTGCAGTCATGTACAGCTACCGTATCAGCAAACAGTAACACCTAATGCACTAACTGACCCTGAAAAAAATGCCTTTTGGACTGCTTGTGCACATTTTTTACTTCTTAGCGTAAACCATGCTCTAAAATCAGAAATGGCAGGGAAAAAAGTACTATGCTACAATGCTTTGCCTATTTGCTAATGGGAACATATATGACAAATAGATAAACTGCAAGTTTTTCATTATTAGTTAGCTGGAATTTCTTTTGGGAGGGGGAGGGGGAAGGCCAGAGGAAGGGGGAGAGTGAGAGAATCTTAAGCAGGCTCCATGCCTAGCATGGAGCCCAAGGCAGAGCTCACTCTTACCACCCTGAGATCATGAGCTGAGCCAAAATTAAGAGTTGGATGCTTGACCGACTGAGCCATCCAGGCGTCCCAAGTTAGCTGTAATTTCTTAATCAGAATTCATATTCAATTTCTTTGTGAGATTTAAGAAGGCACATCTTGTGGTAATCACTTTATAAGATAGATATATATCATATCATTATATTGTACATGTTAAACTTTACAGATACCCTAAATGTTAACAGAAATTCTAATTTAAAAAAACAACTTTTGTTTACAAATCTCTGAAATTACTGAAGTGTATCTGCCTATAGACACAGGCTTTGGAAAAAAAACAACAATTGTCTAGGCCTCTAAGTAACAGCAGTTTATTTACTGCCATGGCACAACTGCAAATCAAAGATTTTAAGCTTTTTAAGTCATGGAAACTTTATGTTTTATATAAGTAAAACAAAACTCAAAAATGTTGAGCAAGCAAAAAATTTTGATAATTTGTGTGGATTAAATGATAAAGTAAAACGTATTTGGGATTTTAGCCACTACGTTATGCTAAGTAGGAGTTTTTATTACAAGATTCATAAGTAATCTTCTCTTTCTAAAATTTAAATACGGGGATCCCTGGGTGGCTCAGCAGTTTAGCGCCTGCCTTTGGCCCAGGGTGTGATCCTGAAGTCCCAGACTCCCTACATGGAGTCTGCTTCTCCCTCTGCCTGTGTCTCTCTGCCTCTCTCTCTCTCTGTGTGTGTCTCTCATGAATAAATAAATAAAATCTTTTAAAAAAGTAAATAAAATAAAATAAAATTTAAATTCAATTAATTAGGGACACCTGGGTGGCTCAGCAGTTGGACGCCTGCCTCTGGCTCAGGTCATGATCCTGAGATCTGGGATCGAGTCCCACATTGGGCTCCCTGTGAGAAGCCTTCTTCTCCCTTTGCCTGTGTGTGTGTGTGTCTCTCTCTTTCATGAATAAATAAGTAAATCTTTAAAAAATAAATAAATTCAATTAATTAACATATAGTGCATTAGTAGTTTCAGAGGTAGAGTTCAGTGATTCATCAGTTTTACATAACACCCAGTGCTCATTACATCATGTGGCCTCCTTAATGCTCATCATCCTGTTATCCCATCCCTCATGTCCCTCTCCTCCAGCAGTCCTCAGTTTGTTTCCTATGGTTTAGAGTCTCTTATGGTTTGTCTCTCTCTCTGATTATGTCTTGTTTTATTTTTCCCTCCCTTCCACTATGCTCCTCTGTTTTGTTTCTTAAATTCCACATATGAATGAAATCATTTGATAATTATCTCTTTCTTATTGACTTACTTTGCTTAGCATAATACCTTCTAATTTCATCTATGTCATTGCAAAAGGTAAGACTTCATTTTTGATGGCTGAGTAATATTCCATTGATTATATACATACCACAACTTTATACATTTATCTGTTGATGGACAATGGGGCTCTTTCCATAGTTTGGCTATTGTGGACATTTCTGCTATAAACATTGGGGTGCAGGTGCCCCTTTGTATTACTACATTTGTATCTTTGAGGTTTATACCTAGTAGTGCAATTGCTAGATAATAGGGTAGCTCTATTTTTAACTTTTTGAGGAACTTCCATACTGTTTTCCAGAGTGGCTGTACCAGCTTGCATTCCTACCAACAGTGTAAGAAGGTTCCCCTTTCTCTGCATCCTCACCAGCATTTGTTGTTTCCCGACTTGTTAATTTTAGCCATTCTGACTGGTGTGAGGTGGTATCTCATTGTGGTTTTGATTTGTGTTTCCCTGATGCTGAGTGATAGCATTTTTTCATGTGTCTGTTGGCTATTTGTATGTCTTCTTTGAAGAAATGTCTATTCATGTCTTCTGCTCATTTTTGACTGGATTATTTATTCTCTGGGTGTTGAGTTTGAAAAGTTCTTTATAGATTTTTGTAT